CAGGCTGTGATGTGGCTCTTTGCAAACTTTCATGTTTCAATGTTTATCACACGAAGAAAAACTAATAAAGAGGTATGGAAAGGCATTTATTGCATAATATATTGTATTTTAATTAGTTCCTGAAAATTTCGCTTTTAAAAACCAATTTTTGTTGAAGTTGTTTAGGAAAAAGTAACTACATGCATTTTAGCAACGTAAGGTTTAAAGGGCCTGCCAGGACAGGGGTGGGATTTAAATAACCTTCGCGCCAGTCAAAGAGTTAATGTTAGAAAGTTACTATTAAACCACGTACTTGTTTCATTCAGAACTAATTTGACATTATTTTTAAATTCTTCAGGACTCATGTTTGATATGATAATACTTGTATCATCAGCAAATAATATTGGATTGCCTATTTTCTTAATGGATAATGGGAAATCATTTATGTAAATGAGGAACAATAATGGCCCCAATATAGAGCCTTGTGGAACTCCATATTTAAGTAGTTCCCATTTTGAAGACACTTTATTAAGTTCAATATCTTTCATTGATATTCTCTGATCTCAGTCTTGTGAGTATGATCTCATTAACTTATTTACCATGCCCGAGATTCCATAGAATTCCATTTTTGCCAGGAGTATGTTGTGGTTAACACAAACCACCAACATAATTCTTTTTCTCTAAAGAAGACAATATATTATTTAAAAGAATGTGTGTTGCCATTTCAGTAGATGATTTTTCTCTAAATCCAAATTGTTCAGTGACAAATATATTGTACTTATTTATATGGAAGTATAATTTTTATAGAAGATTTTTTCGATAATTTTGGAAAAAGTTGGGAGGAGCGAGATAGGCTTGTAATTTGTAAATTCTGATTTATCACCCTTCTTGTATAATGGCTTAACTTCTGAGGATTTCAATCTATCAGGAAATATACCTGTTTGTAGAATCTTGTTAAATATGCATGTTAACGGTGATAAGACATACGGAGCATTAAATTTGAGAAATCTTAATGATATCTCATCATATCCATGAGAGTTCTTAGGTTTTAGTGAAGATATTATTTTTTCAATTTCACGTGTATTCATATTACTAAGTTTCATAGATGTAAATGAATGATAAAAATTCTGATGTAAATAAGATAAAGAATCTTTATTATTAACAGTGGCTTTCCCTGAGGAGTTTTTGATAAGTAATGTTTCGGCTACAGATGAGAAGTAATTGTTAAACACATTTGCTATAGCTATGGAGTTATCAGATAATTGTTTTTTTTTTAAGTTCATTGTAGTTACATTCTCATTAGGCCCTTTATTATTAGTAATGGTTTTTACTATATCCTAAGTAGTTCTAGTTTTATTGTTAGATTTTAATGAAAGTTTATTATATTAGTATTTTTTTGCTGTCATAACGATTCGACAATATTTCTTAAAGTGTTCTTTGATATTAGGATCATTGCTGTTTCTATAAACTAGACAAAGTTTCCTTTTATTAGCGCATGATGTTCTAATACTGGAAGTTAGCCATGGTTTTCGTTAATATAAATATAGGGATTTAACACAGGAAAGCATGCATAGGAGATTCTAAGAAATGTGTTCAAAAAATTATTAAAAGCCATATTCACAGTAGTTTCAGAAAAAACATCTTCCCAATTTTCATAGCTCAACAAAAATGTAAATTGACCTATTGAGTAGTTATAGGAATAGTAATATTATTGTAATGTGTTTGGAATCCAGAAGAGTCACTTCTATGGAAACGCTAGAACAGACCGTTGCATAGGAAGTAACAATAGCGATACTGTGATTCTAACAGTGAGCATTGCATAGAGATGAGTTTCCATGGTTATAATAAAGGCTCACTGTATAGCAACTGCCGAGGTATAAATAGCCCAGCTTCAACAAGAAGAAGTCAGTCTGGAATTAACCGCCGAAGGAGTCAGTCTGGAATTAACCGCCGAAGGAGACATTCTGGAATTAACCGCCGAAGGAGACATTCTGGAATTAACCGCCTAAGGAGACAGTCTGGTATTATCCGCCGAAGAAGAGAGTCTTCAGGAAGCTGCCACTGAAGATAGTCGGGGCTACAGAAGTAATGGCCAAGATATTGTGTAAGCAGTGATTGTAATACAGCAAGTATGCAACAATGGTTGTAAAGTGTGTAGTAAGTGTGAGTGTCCAATAAAGATTTGCTGAATCCGAGACCCACGTGAATTTATTTGTCGCGTGGCATACCCAACACGTGACATTATTTAAGGTGATGACCTGAGCATCATGGTCAGACAGACCATTAATAAGATGTTGTACAGAAAATTTGTGCAAATTGGTATTAATATAAATATTATCTATTAAGGCGCAGGAATTATTAAAAATTCTCATAGGAAAATTAATTGTACTAAAAAGATTAAAAGAAGCTAAGAGAGAATCTAAAAGATCTTTCCTATTATTATCGTTAAAATAGTTTATGTTAAAATCACCACATAAAATTAATTCATTTGATATTTTATGCACTTTGTTAAGAATTAATTCCAATTGGTTTAAGAAGTAAGAGAAATTGCCAGTAGGGGATCTATACATACAGATGACAATAAAGTGGTTTGACATAAAATGTAACTTTAAAGCAGAAATTTCAAGGTCCTTCTCTTTAATGTTATATTTTAGCGTCCTGTTGCACTGATTTAAGTCCATGATTTATTTTATCCGCCTTCTAGTGCATACATTTATTTATCCCCTCCTTTCACTCTCACTACATGTTTCGGCACCAATGTGCCATCTTCAGGTGCTGATCCAATCCACGACAAACTAATTCATTGCATGCCTTGTCTTTACATACTAAAATAACTAAAATATATATTTATCATATATACTGACAAATGTCAAGTATACTCACTCAAAACGAAGACAGCACACACACACATACCCAGCAGGTCCAGCAGTATAACACACGCAGTCACAGGAGCGAGACGCAACACAGAGCACAATACACGATAGTGAAAGAGAGAGTGCTCCAACAGAGGATGATAGACGTGACTCGCGTAATGAAACACGACGTAGGAAAGAAATATGCTGTACAGTTTTAGTATTTTAACACTTGACATTTGTCAGTATATATGATAAATATATATTTTAGTTATTTTAGTATGTAAAGACAAGGCATGCAATGAATTAGTTTGTCGTGGATTGGATCAGCACCTGAAGATGGCACATTGGTGCCGAAACATGTAGTGAGAGTGAAAGGAGGGGATAAATAAATGTATGCACTAGAAGACGGATAAAATAAATCATGTCCTTCTCTTTATTAAATTGGTCAAGATTAATAGCAGTAAACTGAATATTCTTATGAGCCATAACACACAATCCTCCATGGCTGTGTTTGTCTGCAAAAGGAAG